CTGAATTTGTCATTGCTCTCCCTTGTTATTTGGGTTCCTTCTGGATTTTTTCCATGAGGTCAGGAGTCAGTTGTTAACCTTTTCCGTGCAAAAAACTGGCGTCCAATACTGGAAATTTATCGAAAGTTCCGGGTGACACAGTAATAACTAGAGAGATGATCCTCAACAAGGAACCAAGTCCGTGGGAAATAATTTTTATGGATTTTAGCCTAACTTTTGATAAAAGCATCGAAGTTAGACGATCAAATTCCAAATTAGTTAAAATTTAGAAAAACATTTTATTGAGGATCTATTCGTCCATCACATTATATTGTTATCGTTTTAACAGAGAATAGAAAATTTAGTGAAAAAATATAATTATTAGAATAACATGTATAAACACATCAAATAAGCATTTACATAGATTACACAATGTTACAAATAAAAAAAGATTTAATTTTGTTTTCAAATTTAACAACTATAAAATCATCTTAAAGTACGTGATCTATAATAACAGCAGATACTTCCCTCATTACAGTTTGAAAACTGTAAATAACAATAAGAAGCGTATTTCTGACAAATAATATTCTGAATTTTTCACGAAAGAAAGTCTGCACACAGAGTGCAAGATCAAATACGTTTCTTCTTTCTTCTTCATATTTCAAATTAACTACTCTTTATTTGCCATATTGTTTTGAGATTTTGAAACAAATCAAAGAGTAAATATATTCTAATTATTTTGAAACAATATAACATAATGTTCAGTGTAAATTGCTTTGATGGACAAGAAATCTTTAATATGTCTAAAGTGCAATGGAAGTCTTCATCGTAGGTAAAAAAATTACACTTAACTCTTTTAAACAAAAACTGCAGACAATACGTGACTGATTGGATTCGAATTAAGGATATTTGCTACGTGTATGATTTTGCATACTAACAAGAAGATAACAGATTACAATACACTTGTAACCAAATGTTTAGTAATCAATGGGACGAGATATTTCATTCAAACGAATAGCTGGATTGCTCGGAGAAAACGATCCACAGAATCGTTAATCGGCCTATATATCGAGGTATATACAAAACGGACATCGTATCGGTGGTTTTAAGATGGCCCAACAAAAGAGTAATCAAGTATAAATTTCTTCGAGAAGTACTGGATCCATTCTTTCCTCATATCAGATTTCTTACGATGAGAGAAGAGTTTTTGGAATCTGAAGATTTCACTCGACCCATCTTAACAGATACGCAGAGAGATGCTATAAGATGCTACTTGAAAAGGTAGTGTGAAAAGGATAAAGAAAGTACAGTGGTGCTTCGTATAACGTACTTAATCCGTTCCAGGTGCACGTCCGTTTAGTGAAAAGTCTGTTATACGAAACACATTTTTTCATAGAAATACATGTTAAAACATATAATTCGTTCGGCAGCATAGAATAACCGTACCATAAAAAAATGAAAATGAAGCAGTCACCAATTATGCCGGGTAGTCAGATGTTGTGAGGAGGTGGTGGAGGAACACTTTCTTCACACATTCATACAGATACAGACTTTTTACACATTGCAGCAGGTCTCTNTTAACAGATATGCAGAGAGATGCTATAAGATGCTACTTGAAAAGGTAGTGTGAAAAGGATAAAGAAAGTACAGTACTCGAATATGTTATAATTTTTGTAAATATTTATAAGTAAACTGTAAATTATCTGTGTAAAAAACTGTAAATTAATCCGCACTTGAGGTGGTGGGTGAACTAAAGGTTTATATAGCTGAAAACAATAGAGGCAAACTATGTACTCCAAAACATGCAGTTTTCATCATAAATTGTTTAGAAAGAGTCATAGACATATTTGTTGACAATCCATATAAACATGAACTTAGCATTCTATCTGAAAAAATTGATCAGATTGTTAGTAAAGTACCTACCACCGAAAACCTTGAATTATATAAAAACGTAATGAACAAGGACATAGAAGTAAATTACAATAATCAAATGTATAGAACTTCATCTTCTTATAGTGATGTCCTCCAAAGAAATAATAATAAGAAGATGAACATTATACCTCAGAAACAACAATCAAAAGGGGTTTTACTGATATATAGTAAAGATGAATCACAAAGGAATAGTGACACTGTACGCAAAAAATTGCAGGATAATATTAGATCGTCACAACTAAATATAGGGGTTGATCGTATTAGAAAAATCAACGGAGATGGATTAGCTATAGAAACAAGGAATTTGGAAGACACACAGGTCTTGGAGGAGTGCATAAAAGAAAAATTACCAGATTTAACAACAAGACGACCTAAAAAGAGACAACCCCATATTGTAATTCACTCAGTACCCTCTACAAAAAACAAAGAGTCAATTCCTGCTTATATTTTAGAACAAAATGATTCTATAAAAGATAAAATACACATTAGAAACTTTTCAAAATCAATTCAAGATAAAATTCAATGCAGGTAAACAATATAGTCATTATAGAAACTGGGTCATCCAACTTTCTCCCGAACTACGAAAACATCTATAGGCTCTTGAAAAACTTAATATTGAATGGTCTAGGTGTAGAGTCTCAGATTTCTGCCCGGTATTACAATGTCTGCGTTGCTGCAGATATGGACATGCAACAAAATTTTGCGAACAACATACCAGCATTTGTAGCCACTGTGCTGGCAATTATGAGTATCGTAATTGCCCTAACTATAAAAACATTCCTAAATGCTGCAATTGTGAATATGAGAAAAATAGAAGTCCTGCACATAACGCTTGTAGTGGTTCCTGCCCAGTCTTTGTAAGAATTAAAAATAAATTAGTTGCTAATACCGACTATGGAGACAACAATGAATAACCCCTTACGTATACTGCAAATCAACTTAAGAAGAAGCATAGCTGCTTCATCTATGTTAAACATTCAATTAAAATATTATGATATCATACTAGTGCAGGAACCCTATTGTCATAATAACCGTCTTAGTTGCTTTCCGACTAACTGTATCACCATAACGGGTACAAATAATTTCCCATTATCATTATTAAGAATTTACCAATACTATTTCATCAAGTTTATAGTAACGAGTATATTATATGTCTGAAAATTAAGGACGCTAATACAAAACTGATACTTGTTAATATGTACTGCCCTAGAACTGCACCAGCTGGGGATATCCTTGATAAACTATTCTGTAGATATTTAATATACAGAGTATATTAAATATCTATAGAATGCCACATAGTGGCTGGAGATCTAAATGCCCACTCCCCCTCTTGAGGAGGATATCAGCTAGATCATAGAGGTGAAGAGTTTGAGGAATTTTTTCTTAACAACGACCTTACTGTTGTTAATAATCCTCTGTCACCTCCCACTTATAGATCTCATAGTGGGGACACATGGATGTGACTGCATGTACTAGCTCACTTTTAACAAGGGTTGCTAATTGGCGAGTACTGGATGAGGAATCACTAAGTGATCATTCATACATTGCATTTAATATCGCACTAAATTATATAGACATTCAAGCTTATGACACCGAGTTAAGATACAATACATCTCGAGCTGATTGGCAATCTTTGCATACTTATCTACAATGCTTACTTATTGACTATGATTTTGATAATATGACAGCTGTCACCAGCATCATTACCAATAACATTAAAATATTAAATCGAGCCTGTGAATTATTTATTCCAAAATCTAAAATGAAAAGAAGACCGGTCCCGTGGTGGACTTCCAGGCTCAGTGATCTTCGTAAAGAACGCAATAGAAAGAGAAGGGCATACCAGAGATGTAGAAGAGAACCACAGCGATCCAATCTTAAAAATGAGTATTTGCAACACCAAAACATCTATAAAAAAGAAATAAAATTAACAAAATTAAACTGCTGGAAAGACTATTGCAAAAAAGCCTCCAAAAATCCATGGGGGTACATTACCAAGCTATGTACCAATAAATTACGTAAACCACAAATTCTTACAAACCTCGAAGAAGAAAATAATTCTGATAGTGACTTTCCTAGTGAATTAAACAAACTGATGGATCGATTCTGTATTCCTGATCCACAACATTCAGATACTGATAGCCAACACAACATTCGTACAAATTGTAGTGACACCATTAACACTCCTGAGGTCCCACCTTTTCTTGTGCATGAAATAAACAATGCTATTTCCTTTTTAAAAACTGGAAAGGTGCCTGGGGTCGATTGTATAACAGCTACTATTGTAAAGAAATTATGGGAACTGATCCCTAACCATCTTATAAACTTGTTTAACGCTTGTCTTTATTCAGGAACATTTCCAAAATCGTGGAAAAAGGCAAAAATTGTGCCAATTCCAAAACCAGGAACTTCTGGAGAATTTCGCCCAATATCTCTTCTTTCACTGCTGGGCAAAGTTCTAGAACGACTAATTGCTAATAGATTAAATTGGCATGTAGAATACCATCAACTACTATATAATTCACAATTTGGATTCCGCAAACAACGTTCTGCCTCTGATGCTATTTATCATGCTATCAGCAAAGTACAACTCTTGCTGAACAATAACAACAGATTTGTCTTGGCTGTTAGCCTTGACATTAGTAAAGCATTCGATAGTTGTTGGTGGCCATTAACTCTCTTACAATTACAACGTAAGAACTGCCCCAAATCTATACAAACTCCTTCACAATTACTTAACTGACCGGACAGCAATAATGCAGCACGGAAAATACATGGTTTCTAGAAAAATTGTTCGTGGCTGCCCACAGGGCTCAGTTCTGGGTCCACTACTCTGGATCATAACATTTGACTTGTTCCTTGAACAGGACTTTGGACATGACGGTATTACAGCGTATGCTGGTGATGTGCTTATACTCATTGGAGGTAATAGTAGAGCTGATTTAGAAAGAAAGGGCACTAAAATATTGAATAAAATACTTGACTGGGGGCGTGAAAACAAACTCCAATTCAACTCTAATAAGACAAAAGGCATAATTTTTAACCTTCCTGGTTGCCCTAATCTTTATTTACGTGTCCCCACTGTTAAAATGGGTGGAAAGTCAATAACTATCAAAAAAACACTGACATATCTGGGAATTATTCTGGATTACCGGCTCTCCTGGGAGCCTCATATTGATCATATAACAAAGCGAACTGGATTAATTTTTCAGGCCTTCACTAAGGTTGCTCGTGGCACGTGGGGACTTAGTTTTGATGCCCTTGAAACAATTTACAATCAATTATTCATACCAATTATCACTTATGCCTGTGGTTGTTGGGGATGGGCATCAAATAAGACCCATCCTAAATGTAAATTAACATCAGCTCAGAGGAAAGCTTTGATCCCTCTCACCAAAGCTTATAAAACTACTTCCTACCTACAAGTGTTAGCACGAAAGCCTCCTATAGAACTACATATTCAGTTCTACAGCCAACTCAGCTGTCTAAAATGGGGGAATAACATCCATCTAACCAGAGATACAATTTTAACTTCGGAGTTTGAATCTGAACCCCCCTTTAGCTTGTCACCAAGTCCGAGTATACCTCATATAAACATTATTTACAATACAGATTATAATGGCATTTTAATATTTACTGATGGATCGAAAAATGGCAGTAACGTTGGCTGCTCGTTCGTTGTCTTACTGAATAATAATGAAATACATCATAGCACTTTTAGACTTGGTGTATATACAACAATTTTCCAGGCAGAGTTATTTGCCATTCTTATGGCCCTGACATGGGCAAATACTCAGTACCAATCAAGCTATATTACGATCATCAGTGACAGTGCTTCTTCCTTAGCCGTCATTAACAGTTCACAATTACATCCTTTGTCTATACGTATTAAGAATCTGATAATGACTTCCAGTAACAAATATAGCCTGATGTGGACTAAGGCACATCACGGTTTGGCCGGGAATGAAAGAGCTGACGCATTAGCTAAAGCAGCTGCCAATAATTCGCAGCTAGAAATCTCTTATAACAAAGTCAGCTTGACCACTGTTAAAAGACTTTTGTGGAGAGAAGTCCTGGATATATGGCAAAACAAGTGGAACAGAGAATAATCTATAAATTCTTTCCTAATATCAATGATATTTATAAATACCACTGGTTAAAATCTGACCACTGGTTATCACAGTTTTTTACTGACCATGGAAAATTTGCTACATACCTATCAAGATTTGCCAGTCATAATACAACTTTATACACTCACTGCAACATTACAGATGGCAGTGACCATTATATTTTTGATTGTGTATGTTTAGAAAAGGAAAGACAAGAAATTAAAATGATTTTGTCTGAGCGTGGTGTTGCATGGCCATGCAAACACAATGAATTAATAAATAATTATGAAACATTTTTATACTTTAATAACTTAGTAAGAAGATACAGTAAAATCACCACGATCTGTACTAGATAAACTTATATTGGCTTGTTACATTTATCTGGCATTACATTGTTAATCCATGTGCGTACAGAGAGAGATTGCTCTGCCTTTTCATATAAACTTAATAATATAATAACTTAATTATGTGCAAGAATCTTTAATTTATTACTGCAATGACTGGTATAATATGATGTGTTGCAATTGACACTTATACATTACAATGGACATCTTATCAATCTGTTTTATAGTGTGTGACAATACTTTGACTGTTATAATGCCTGCTTGGAAGTATCCGCAACCAAATAAATGTTTCCTGAGTGTGTTGTGCTGCATCCCTGTCGCGGTTCTTTTGCCCGTACCGGACACTATATAAGGACACTTATCAGGTGCTCTGCTGTCAATGTTGGAATCGACTCTTGACATGCCCAGCAGGGATCTACCTGATAGACCTCAACAGACCACAGCGCTGCAACTCTTCAGTACATAACCACCAGCATTATTTTTGTTTCTATTAACTTTTTTTTTTTGTTTGTTTGCCCTCGTAATACTACGTAAACCATTATAATTGTAGGTTGTCTACTTTATTTTATTTTATTTTTCTTTGCTCAACGTAAACAGTATATTTGTATATGTATACTTATGTCAATAATTGTAAAATACGACTAAATGTCCGACTATTGTATTGTTATTACTACATTTATATATTTTTTATAAATAATTGTAAGCAGATTATGCTACTGCGGAATCTGCAATGTAACCTATGTTACGAAATAAAAAGATTTGTGTGTGTGTGAATCCAGANATTGTATTGTTATTACTACATTTATATATTTTTTATAAATAATTGTAAGCAGATTATGCTACTGCGGAATCTGCAATGTAACCTATGTTACGAAATAAAAAGATTTGTGTGTGTGTGAATCCAGAAAGAGTAAGCAATAAGACCGTAATTTATTTACTTTAAAACGGAGGTCCCATTTTCTCAAAAAATCTTAATCTCGAAAAATCTTAACCTCCCAAAATAAACAATTTTTTTAATGTATTTTCTTAATTTTTAATAAAGTTCTATGATTATTATTTATTTTCATTTACATACATATGCGAATGTGTAATATTAAATCCAAAAATACTAATACTGACAACAGCTGTTAGAATTAGTGGTTAAATGGTTCGTTTCGCTCACTGGTCCCACTGACTAAGCTCACTTGTTCTGAATATAGGCTATTCATAGTGATAATTTTATGACGATTCAAACCCCCGCGAGGGTTCAACCCTATCAGAACAACTCCCGCACATTTTCTCGATTTCCTACTGTAAGATCTGGAATTTTATTAATCTAAAAATTTTATTATTTTACTTCTGTTATATAATGGATTTAAAAAAAAAAAACGATCTTAGATGGGAACATTTGAAACCCTCCTTCCATAACTATCAACATTCTACTGTTCCCACACAGCCTGCAGATTAACTTGCACGATAGTTCATAGTTAGCATTCAAATTTCGTCACTTGTCTTAGTCCCGGAAACACCTATAACCTTTATCGCATATAACAACCGATCACGTGACCGATTTTCCCAGCAAAAAGCTATAAGAGATGCTTCCTTCCCCCTCCCGGGGGAGTCTCTTAACGAAAGCTGGACCGACATCACCTTCGAGTTGAATCTCGAAGAACTGTAGAAAGTGCTGTAGAAAATGCAGATACGATGAAATGTCATCGTTCTCGAGTGCTATTTTCAGTCTGGAGGCAGAGAAGATGAAGTTGTTTGTTTGTTTGTATTGTTTTTGTTAATTTACCGCAATGCAAAACCTGAGAGATCTGCCTAGGTAGTGTTGCCTTCTGAAAGGAATTTTTAAGGGTAACTAACCCCTATTTAAGAGTTACAGACGTGGAGAAAACTCGAAAAACTCCACGTGGCCACTTCGTCCTGGCAAAGCGCAAACCAGTGTTCGAGAAACGGAACCGCTGGGCTACTGGTGGGCCAGCTGCAGTTACAAACCCGTCGTTTTGCAATCGTATATGATGGAAAACTTGACGTTCAAAGACTGGAAAATACATTTGAGCAACGACCGCGTAGATGAAGATAAATAGGATAATTAGAGCCGTGGCAGGACACAGTTGTGGTAGAATGGTTAAGGCGACAAATTAGAAATCCTGCATTTCTCCAAGATTTTTAATAAGCCCGCAGGTCTGTATTGTAAAGGGCTATGCCATAAGAGTAGATGACATGTAAGAGTTGTTATGTTTACAACGGAAAAGGCGAGACACCATTAGAAATAAATTTTTATACGATAAAATTGTGTATACTGTAAACATTCGCGAGTCGAAAACAATATAAATACGAGCAAATCAGGAGAAGACATTCATTGCGCAATTCCGAAAATGAAGTCTGTACCTGCAATTGCTCTGATATTTGAGCTGTTAGGTGAGTTAAATAAATATTCTTCTTCTATTGTTATGCTTCATTAACTCATTGTTCTTCTATTGTTGATTTGTATATTCTGAGGTATTCCTTAATTCCAGAATTATTATAGAATATGTCGCGTGTTTCACATAAATTTATAGTAAACAATGCTTTAACAGGAAGTTTAAATTTAAAAATATTTATGTAACGTTTGTTTTAACCTCAAAAAAATATTTTATATTCATATTTAGGAATAGAAGGGACGCAGGCAAGAACGATTATCTTGTAAGCGAACGCAATTGCAGATATGGGTGTTCGTCATTGGGAAAAAAATGAAAAATGTAACGACTTATGTAAAGAGAAAGCGGGTGCCTTCTATGGATATTCTTACGCTTTTGTTTGTTACTGCGAGGGAATGAGAGAAGACGCCATTCTATATGATGACGATAAATGATGCTGGTCTGATTTCAACAAAATAATAAATGACGACGTCAAGACAATTTTATAATTATTACTCGAGAATTTAGACTGGTACTGCTGTAGTCAGAAAGTCACTGCTGTAGACAGAACCTAATATTCAGAATGCAGCACTGTAAAATCTAGAAACAAGTAAAATTCAGACTTTTATTCCTGAAAGACATCGAATCAGTGGCGTGACGTGACGTGACATTTGATGATAGAGAAGCCTGTTTGCTCCTGGAAGTCGGCTTCTTACAAATCAGTTAATTGCGCGTGAACGATGGTCTAGTGTCCATTCGTATTCGTTTGTTCGATAAGTCAGTAAAAACCGTAGACTTTTTTAAACGTATTTTTAATATGACAATTACATTCCGAATCGCTAGCCACGATATAAGGGCTACAATTAAAAATAAAATACAGTAGAGCATCGTTTATCCGAAAGTCCGTTATCCGAAAGCATTCCAGTTGGCAAATTTAAATTTTCGCTAGTGCTGTGGCGCTGCAATCTTTGGCTATGTCTTGAGCTACACAAATATTTTACGTTTTTGATACTAAATTAACTTCTGAAGTATAATTTTTTTATTGTTTTTATATTTTTCAATATATTTATTTTGTTTGTACAAAATAAAGAAATAATTTTTAATTGTATAATAATTGTGATAAAATTATAATTGTGACTATTGTATCAATAGTCACAATTATTATTTTAAGAAGTTTACGTTAGGCTTAACATCGACGAAAATTCAACGTAAAGCGACACCCAGCGAAGAAAAATTTCAGAATGGGATAGGTTAATGTATTTTTTCGTGCATAATCGGTTATCCGAAAAATAAGTTATCCGAACAACCTCAGTCTCCAATTGATTCGGATAAACGACGCTCTACTGTAATAAAAATTTACTCAGTGAAATAAATTGTATGATGGATATACATACATGGTACAAAATATTTTTCAATTGTACGAATATACTTTTAAAGACAATTATAATTAAATATAGCTTTGTAAAGAAACGTACTGTACATAAAAATATAAAATATTCTTTACTTTTTAAATCTTAAAACAATGCACTTAGTCAAATAGATCCCTACGAGTGGCTCACAGATGAAATCAGAGACGGTCCTGGTAGGTGTGCGGTACATGCATGCACGCGGACTGCCAAATCACGAGGATGCCGATACCATTCAATGTCAAATGGCTCTTTTGTCGCGTCATTAGTATACCTCAAAGGACGCGACAGGGTGGTTGTAAATTTTAAACGTTTCATGCGTTATAAATCTACTCGCGATTCACATAATGGGGGAGGACGGCCAGATATCTAGCAGGCAGGCAGGCAGGCGGCTAACAGCTCAACACCGGTCTTAGATAGAATCATTGGAAACGTTAGGGTGCGACTATGCAGACTTGGTGGTTAAAAGTCAATCGACATATCATATACAGCCCCTTTGGTATCTTCTTATACACACACTCTTACACTAACATTCATATATAACGAAGTCATTCACGAATTTCTTTTGCATTTTTTCACGTTTCAAGGTCCTCCGAGTTCAAAAATGTAAAAGTGTGGGGGAGGTCATTTTTTTTAACCGATCGCCGTACTTTCTATACATAACAGCCATAAGTAACTAGAATGAATTCGCATGTCCATGCTTTTAAAATTAAATTTTAATAAATTTCTGGGAAGCTTTAAAATTCTCGTACAATAATTATATAATTAGTTGTTTGACGTCGACATTTATCATGTTGTTAAAATGATAAGGATCATTTTCCCTCTGGAATACAAGGACCCAGTGTTGGATCTTTCCACAAAACGGCGTTTTTACCAACATTCTCGCAGTAACAAGCCCACGCGTAACAATATCCGTAAGAACTACCCGCTTTTTCTTTACATATTTTCTTACAATAATCACTCTCTCCCAGGCTTGAACACCCAATTTTGCATCGGTGTCCATTCACGGGATATCCGTTCTTCGCCTGCACTTCTTCCATTCCTAAAACCGTACATTAATAAAGAATTTTCTTAATTAAAGCAAATTTTACGTAAATACTTTTTAATGTAAACTCCTGTTAACATATTGTTTGCTACAAATTTACTAACACATATCTTACAAATCCTATATAGGCCTAATTGTTGTAGAAATAGTAGAAATCCTGGGATCAAAGGTAATCTCAAAAATTGTATAAATTAACAATTGAATAAGAAAAACTATAAGAAAATAGATAAAAAGCGTAAGAATAGAAGAAGAACCAAGAAGAACTCACCTAACAGTAGAAATATCAGAGCAATTGCAAGTACCGACTTCATTTTTGCAGTTGTGCAATGAATGTCGTGTTCAATTCTCGTATTTATATTATTTTCTACTCGCGAATTGTTTATACTTTACATAATTTTTATTGCACGAAGAGCAATAAAAAAAAGTTCTAATTGTTATTAAATACTCACTGCATCTGTTCGATAATTACTAATAACTTAATAACTTTTAAATGAAAATAAACGTCTTTCTAAAAGTACAATTATCGCCTTTTATTGCTCCACAATAAAATAATTTTAACGAGCAATTATTTACTGTGATATTGTACAGGATGTACGAATATAGAGCAAAACGAATCCATCACGTTATTACATTTAATCTGTTTAAAATGGGGTGCATTGTATAATAATCAGTAACACTTTATAAGACTTTAGTACACGGAGCTGGTTGTAGTATTAAAGAAAATGGTGGCTTACACAGATACAGACAATTCAGTTGTGTTAAAATTACACGAAACAGTACGTAATGGATGTACAGACAAAGATTGTATACCATCTAAGCTGCAGAATTTGCAATAGAAGCAAGCAAGTATAAGAAACGGTCTTGTTTCTGTGTATCAGAAGGTCTTAAGAATAGGATGTGTGTCGCATGACTGGCGGGAGCAATATCGAAATTTCTACACATTTCATACAATCAAGAAGTATTATACAACAAACCTCATTGTTGTATAGTTTAAACACTACAAATCTTTCAAGATCTTTATTCTCGTACAGCCTGTATTCTTATCCAAAACTTTGATTGTCGAGAAACAAACAATGAAACGAAAATGTTTATTGTTTAATAAATATAAAAGTTTTAAAATATATCCGTAATTTAAAAATAATAATAAACAAACATTTAGTATGAAATTAAACTAAAACTTTTCAAGATATTATGTGATAATTGTGAATAAAAACACCTGGAAAATAATAGATATGAACGCGTTTTATTGTCTCTTGCTATAATATTTAAATAATTGCTGCGTTTATAGTATTATTTTTCTGTATTTTATTATTAAAAATTTCTTTATCTTTAATTATTATAAAGTGGCATAATTTTTAAAGTACAGAGGAACTTTATAAAACATTGTCAATGCTAATAACGAGTAAAATCGTCATGTAGTCCTACGACCCTACTCGAGATACGACACACGATTCCCTTTATCTCCCCACTCCCTCAATGTTTATTCACTAAAATTAAATAGCATTAATCCCCCTAATAAATAAATCTATATACAAAATTTCAGAAATTTTCGACAAAAGGCAGGAGAGTTGTTAAGCTTCAAATAGGATGAACGAAATCATACAAAAATATAGAGAAATATTTCTGCAAAACTACCCATAGATATGCAGTTTTTAATGTACTCTCATATCCAAAAATAAATACGCATAAGTTAATTGTCCAAGCTATGGTTATAGACGAATGCTTTATTAACAATGACAGTTTATACAAATGTTCCATAAATACAGCAGAATCTGGTCGTTTCTCTTACGATTTAACAGACCAAAACAGTCTATTTATGATTTATTATATGCACAATCCGGCCACATACACAATTTTACGAAAAGGCGAGTATGCTAAGAATTATGGCTATTCTAGATAAACACTTTAATGGCACATCTTCACAGTTAAATTGCCTTATTATTATATTCTCTGTTTAAACTTGAAGTTTAGTTAATTATAAATGAAGAGTGATTAAAGTATTTCCATAAATCACACAAACTTTCCTATAAATTTCCATTGCAGTTTCTTAATTTTCGACATGAAAGTTTTGAAAAAAATAAATAAAAATAATGTTTACAAGAATTTATTTATTTTGTGTCTTGCAAAAGAACACGAGAAATTTAGTAAATGTATTACAGAATGAGTGATTAATTTCACTATAAATAACGCTAGTTTAATAATTTTCCCTGAAGAAAATTTGCTGGCATCTGTTACATTGTATTCCTGGATCAGCAGATATTAATATAATGAAAAAAGAAAACTCCGTTACTTACTAAGAATTACTGTTGTAATTTATGCTGTATTTGTTATAAATTTCAAAAATTAACATCCCTTTCATAAAATTATGTACAAAGAACAAATACAGAAGAACAAATACAGTTCCAGAGATTTTTACTGTCTGTATGTCACTCTCTATATTAGAGGTACTGTACATAAATTACTCTTTAAAATAATTGTAAAAGTAAGAAAACAGTAACAATAGCTGTACAATAAAAAAAATATTTGCAGTTTTCCCCTTTATTTCTAAATATATTAACATAATTGATAGTTATATTAAACAAGACAATAAGGAAAATTCGTAGTTTTTCCTTACCGGATCCATCAACAATTTTAACATTAAACAGCATTAAAACTTAATGTTTTTATGTATTTTAAGAAACAATTTTAAGTGATATTGATCAAAAAAGATTTTTGTAACTGTATATACCAACATATTTTACTCATCTATCTGCATGTAATCGGTTGAAGAGTGCGAATGGCTACTGAATGTCACTTGCATTCTGTATTTTCGTGCTGCAAGTGATTAGGTGGCAGCAGTACAGTAAATGTGCGTGCCACTAACACATTTGCAGAAAGAACAGAGCAATGCAGTGTATTTCAATTGTTTGATAAATACAGTAAAACCTATTCAAAACGGAACATTAATTAAACGATAACTTGCCTAAACGGGAAGACTTCGTATCGCAGCGGTTTTCTGTGTAAAAAAAGAAAAAAATACCTGTTCGACTAGTCCACTTTACACAGGTTATATATGTATTTATTGAACAAAAAATGAGCATATAGTGTTATATATATCAACAGATAGTAAAAATACATAATGATATACTTTTAAATGTATAACAGTGTGTAGTATTTGCAATACATCATTTATATCTTCAATAAAAGCTTACGTATTTTTAACAATGATGGTAATAGAAGATATTTCCGATATGAGGTAGGTAGAAAGGAGGTATATAGAAGAAAATATCGACAAACTTCGTGTATCCAGTAACCTGTAGTATAACCCAATATTCCTATTGTTCTCTCTGCGCATTTTACATAAGTATCGCTACTAGGAACAAATACTTTCATAAACACAAATTTAATCATACGAGTCGATACGTAACCGGGAACAAGGGATTGTACGTGTAACCCTTTACCTGAACATTCTAAAGCGATGCTCCTGGTGAAGCGATCCGCGAATGCTTTGGATGACGAATACACGTTCAAGCGAGGGAAGGGATTTAGAGACGATAATGAAGATATCGTAACAACGGCCCCTCTACCTTTAGACAACATGGTCGGTAGTACCAGGCGCGTCATTTGTATTACCGCCGTCATGTGTAGGTTTATCATTATCAATACGTTGCTTTCAGTCTCGGATAAGAAGCGACGAGGCATGTTACCGTTATATCCGGCATTGTTGACCAAAATCCCTATGTCTTTACCTTCTAACTCTTTAGCAATTCTTTTGAAGACGTCTTCCTTTGTCAAGTCTGCTTGAATATAATGACATTGCACTCGGTGTTTGCAACGAATTTCTTCAGCGGTACTACGCAGAGTTTTCATATTTTTCGCAATTATGATGACATTCGTACCTTGTTTGGCAAAGTGGAAAGCGTAACTCCTACCTATACCCGAATTTCCTCCTGTGATAACTGCCCATTTTCCAAAATTCTTAGCTGAAGAGGGAAAGATCCATAAGAGGATGTGAACGAATATCACTTGAAAGAAAGTGTTGACTATTGTTAAGAAGGTGTAAAGTGTTACCAATATACCAACAGCAACTAGAAATAGTTCGTAATACACCAGTAGATACGAATCCTTGTCGCTGCAATTCGGAACATTGTAATCTACGAGTAGGGATGAGGATGCAACACGAACCATTTTCTTCCTCCTAGCAGCAGTAATAACGTTGCAGTAAATGAAGCGATGAATAAGCTGTTTTGATACACGTTAACCAGTTTTGGAATCGATCCAACATACACGTCATTAAATAATATCAAAATGTCTGATAATTAGTAGCAGACATAAAAAATAAGTTCATTAGCAAAGATTTACATATTTTATGAATTATACAATGTTTTAACACGAGATAATAAACATATACGACTCCTTAATTAACACTTTCGATAGTATAAGGATCGAATCTGGTTCGTCAAGAAGTATTTAAAATATTCACACGCGATTGGTCGATTTTAAAAACGTTATTTTTAAATGAACCAATTAAATGTGCTTATTTTAAATTACTTGACCAATCGATGGTCGAAACGTAATTGATTTAAATTATCTTTTGATTTTCCTGTTACTTCTATTTTAGAAAGAATTATGTGTATTAATTATAAATTTTGATATTGCATCAACTTTTACAAGACTAATTTAAAATTCAGACTACATATTTCTATTTTAATAAAAGGATTTATGTTGAAGTATAGTTAACTACTAACACAAATACAGTTACAGAGTTGTTAGGATGGTGTATTTTATCATGTTATTAATTAAACATTATAAAATATACTTATATAATAGCATTCTAACAAGCCAATATCAGTAGAATTCGTGTAACATTTCCTCTAAGCTGACCTTGAGTCAATGGCTATGAGTAACGAGATGCTTAGACATTTCGTTACTCACGTCCAGTACAATACAGGACTTTTAAGATTTTATGTTAAAAAGACAGAGAGAGATTGCAAGATAACCGTCTAAGTCAAGATTCCTGACACCAGTTAGGATATAAAGGAAAAATTGCGTCCTAACTCGCGAAAATTATACCAATCTAACTGGTAAATCGCCAGAGAGGTGTTTCGATCCGACAATGAGGATGGAGATAAACACTTAGACTTTATTTAACCTAAAATATTGGCCTCTAGGTTCTCACAGTAATACAGTAGAGCCTCGAAAACTCGGCACTCCGGATAACTCGGCCACACCCTGGCAGGGCAAAAATAACCTTAGATAATTAATTTTCATCATAGACAGCTTTATGCCTCATAAAGTATTTTTCTGAGGTCTGTCTTATCAGGTAAATTACTATACACTACGTATTCATTAATTTTCATTTTCATGTAGTAAAGGCTCTATGCATTCATAAAGGACGTACAGTACTTTTCCGTTGTTTAAGGGTATTTGGGCAGTTTATTCTCTGTTGTATTCTCAAGCAAACAATACATACAAGTACAGTACAATATTTTCTGAGGAAACACGCATACTTATCCTTTTTTAACCCCATTCCCGATAACCCGGCATTTTCACAAACTCGGCCACCCTTCGGTCCACATTAGGCCGAGTTTTCGAGGCTCTACTGTATAATAAAATACCTTATCAAATTAAATCTAAAAATACTTGTTATAAACTGTATATAAATAAGTCGACCCCCCTATAACACCGTTGATTATTCCTTTTTATGTGAATTCCATGTTGTACGAGTCACTTAGATTTTACAAATATGTGAGCCGTTCACAGCCCGGCACACGTATTTGTAAAATCTAAGTGACTCGTACAACATGGAATTCATATAAAACGGAATATTCAACAGTGTTATAGAGGGGTCGACTGTATATATATATATATATACTTTCGAAGATAAACGTATTTGATATTTTTCAACACGTGTTAACGGTGTGGTGCTATTCAATAATAGAACTAAAACCGGATATTACGTTGCTAATTATGTTGATATTTACGAGGAACATTAACTATAAACTAAATTTTTGGAAGAGGGGGTAAACTTTATTATAAAAATCAACAGTTCTTTTATATTTACTTGAAAATGGAGAGGGTTGTCACGGGTGAAATAGGCTCTCTATCAATTTTTAAGCTCATTTTCTTTATTTATTTTTTCAATTTTTAACTTTTTTTTATTGCTAGAATTAATTTCACTAATATCAAACCAGTCGTTGGAAATTCCCGTAAACCCGTTTTAACAAAAGGTAACACCCGATTGAATTAAATATTAATCTAGCGCATTTCATCCTTTACAAAAATCCTGTACGACACTTAAGGCAAAAGCAAGGGGGGAAAAGATATTTACGAGTATAATTCTATATTATGATTATGAATAATGGAATATATCAACAGAAAATAATAAATAACAATATAATCATTGTTTTCTGCTTACGTCACAAACAGGAAAATAATTAATGCAATTACTCGTTTGTGTAAAAATAACTGTTTTTATAAAAACAATACTTGGCTGTTATTTCAGAGAGAAATATTCCTTGGTAAGGTGTCTCTATAGTTTCCTATCTGGTCTCGCCTTTCATCTATCTAACTCCTTTCTTGAAGTTAAGGAAAGACAGATGGACGAACGACCGTGGGAATTTATAGGTCTACGATTAAAATTCTAGTTAAGTTTCATAAAGATTGGAAACAATTATTTCATCATCTTTGCTCTCACGACTGGACATTTTTAAAGCTAAAATCTATCTTTCTAGCCTCTATTGATAAATATCTCCCTTACATTAATTAAAGCAGATATTTTCATTAACAGATGTTTTATTCTGTATCAAAACTTACGTAATCATTTATGTAAATTTTAAAATAAATTATAAATATCTGGTTTATATATATTCATCGTGTTACTTGGAAATGTTTTATTAGGTGTGTAGGAGATTTTACCACAATTATTTTAACTATATCTTTATTAAATTTTCTCGTGATCTGTCTTTTCTAGTCATTTTTACTTAAAATTTCTAAGAAATCACCTAGTGAAACCCCTAAACTTCATGATCAAGGTGACACAGCCAGTGAAGCCAACTTAGGGGTTTTCCTCTAAATTTAGATTTGATCAGCTGAGTAGAGAGAAATGTAAAGTTTGTCCATATTGGTTGGAATTTCAGCGACGAATAGGAACTTCTAAAATTCAAATCACTTACCACCTACCACTTCATAATATGATGCTTTTACTCGACTGTATCCACGCGACATGCTCCCTAATAAAGTGAAAATTTGTTCTTATTTGAATCGTCTAAAGACAAACACTGTATTTTTTATACGCATTGTACCCGGAGCAAAACTATATATGAAGAACTCGATTCAGTATTTAGGGTGAACTCTTTTAGTTTTAGAGGGAAATTCGGGTTTGTTCAGTGGATTTTCACGACAGAAGGTTGGCAACGAGGACACAGCTAACTTTTCTAAAAGAATAAGTTCCTCAGCAGCTATTTTCCTATACCATCTCTTGACATTCCTCAATATCCCAATGGTCATCTTTGTTACAGCCAATTGCAAAAAAAAGGAGCCAAATACCTTCGCTACGTGATTTTCATATTATTCAATTGCCATTATTTCAATATTCACAGCAGCTGTTCAGAGTTTTCTGTAGAAATTGGGCGAATCTTAACCAAATTTAGTATGCATACTGCTTCTTTAGTATGCGGTTTAGACACAAAATTTTACTTGAAAATTCAACCGCTGGGGAAATTTAACGCTGTATATTTATATCTTTATATATAAATTATATGGAATTATAATTTTAAAAGAATATTAAGTTTAAATAAAGATATAAACAAAAATGTCTGTCTTATATCATGGCATTTAACCTTCCTTCTGTTATTGCTCGTGCTTTAATAATAAGGAGTGCTACAAGACCATAATTTTAGAAGGAAAATGAACAAATAATTATTATTATAATTATTAAAACATAATTAAAATTTAAGTAAACAGTGGCATTTAATATTATATTAATTAAATTGATTTTATAACATTTTAAATGACCTTATTCAATTTGTCGATTGTCATCTCTGATAATAGAATATGCAAATCAAATAATTTGCATTTCTATTATCAGAGTGTTTACCAACGCCTTAGTGTTTTACCAACGCCTTAATATAAGGCTCACAATTCGTTAATTGAGTAACAAAAATCAGAAATTTACATCATTAAATCTGTGTCAAAATGGCAGAAAGTAAATGGGACGATATTTCACCAGTTGTTATTGAAAATTTGATAGACACTATAAACAATAAAGTGACGAAGATGACAATGGAAGCGCAACAAGGTAATTTTATAAATTAAATACCATTTTAAAAAAATATTTAATAAAATTTAACTACTTTTTTTTTTGTATAGAAAATTCTCTTCGAATGAACCATTTCTCGACACATTTGAAACAAATGCTCATATTAATCCGTATTAAATACAACAAGGTACAGTCTGTTACATAATATACAATAAAACACAAGATTACTTATATAATTTTTTTAATTTTTAAATAATTTTATTAGTATTACGAAAAGTTAGAAGAATTACATATTAAAAAAGTAAGTACTTTATTAACTCTTTAGTATAGTGACCATTCAATGTATTGAAGAACCTTGTTGATCCTTCTATTCTTTGAGTGTAGCGAATGATGTCGTATGAGAGTTTTTGTATAATACGAATTTTTACTTGAATCTTAAAGCTTGTAAAAGACTTATTTTGCTCCAAAAATTACAGAGCAATGAGCTAAACAGAAGATTGAATGAGGTATTTGTGATAGGTGTGTTGATGTTGAACTCGTGAATAATGAATTAAATATTGAACTACTGAATAATTTTTAAATTTAACCAGTTTTTATAACAAATTATCTTTTTAACTCTTATTTTTAACCGTAATAACCCGAGAGCAATGCGATGATTTGCCGCGATTGTTGGCACAAGAACAGTGAATTTCCACGAGTAATTTAATAAATCTAAACTTGTAAGTTAATTATCGCGATATCTTGAGGATATTATAATAAAGTATACCTAATAAATTCATAAAATAAATGTTTATATTCGTATTGTCGATAAGATATTTAATGTTTTTTCCATTATTTCAGATTTCTCCCTCGACTAGTCAATCTCCAGAAAGTTGGTCAGGTGAATTAATTTTATTATTCGTACGTAAATTAACTAGCCTAGAAATTAATTTAAATTTATTTTCTTTAGATTTGTTTCCTATCGATGTACGTTTGGGAGTTGTAGAAGATTATCTTCGTTTTAAGAAACAATTACTAGAAAGTATGTTAAGGCTAATTGTAAGCTTTGATGACGAAGTTAGAATGACTTTTATTTCTCCTTTATTAAGGATGGCTTTAGTAGGATTTTTTTTTCTTTTTATTCCTTAAATTTAAAGTAAAATTATTTTAAATTCACATCGTTTTTAATTTCAGATTGATTTAGATCTTGTATAAATCTGAATCTTCGAACGTCAAACCATCGATTTTACAAATGGATAAAGAAAATATAAAAACGTTTTTACATTTAAAATAAATTTTTTATGAGAAAACGTTCATTGTCTGTAAATTACTTAAACACTGACGTGTTCTGTTTGAGTTGTTAATACAGAGGCTTGGTCACTATCAATGATAAGGAAGTTTACAAATCCCTTATCATACTTATTTTAAAGTATAACATCTGAAGTGATGATAAAAATAGTTTTAAACGGTTTATTAAAATTTTAATTTCAGTGCGGTTTTCCTAGAAACGCCTCAGGCTAATTCCATTACAGTAGAACCTCGAAAACTCGACCTAATGTGGACCGAAGGGTGACCGAGTTTGTGAAAATGCCGAGTTATCGGGAATGGGGTTAAAAAAAATAAGTACGAGTATTTCCTCAGAAAATACTGTACTGTACTTGTACAGTATTTACTTGTACAGAATATAACAGAGAATAAACTGCCCAAATACCCTTAAACAAAGGAAAAGTACGTCCTTTATGAAGGCATAGAGCCACTACATGAAAATGAAAATTAATGAATACACTGTGTACAGTAATTTACCTGATAAGACAGACCTCAGAAAAATACTTTATGAGAGCTTTTATACTTTTATAAAGCTGTCTATAATGAAAATTAATTAACTAAGGATTTTTTCGCCCTGCCAAGGTGTGGACCAGTTATCCGGAGTGCTAAGTTATCGAGGGACGAGTTTTCGAGGTTCTACTGTAATAAAAACTGTTGATGTAGAGCAGTGGTTCCCAATTACTTTTTCCTGCGTACCACTTCAAGAAAGAGCTCAAACTTGCGTACCCCTTATAGCAGAAATTCATATTAATCTATACTAATATTATAAATTCGAAGATAATTCTGTCTCTCTGTCTGTTATCTTTTCACATCTAAACCGCCGAACAGGTTTTAATAAAATATGGCACGGAGATAGCTTACACGTTGGAGATGGACATATGCTACATTTTACTGCGAGAAAATATCTTACTCCCACGAGAAAATTCGATATAACGCGAGCGAAACCGTGGGTAGACAGCTAGTGATAAATATAATAAGTTTTTTTTTACATTTATTACCTTTAAAATACCAAAAAACCTCCATCTCGTCAATTTTTTGTTACACTTAAGTTTTTGTTTGTATTTAGCGTAAAATTCCTAGTTAACTTAAAATTTACTATTCTTTTTTTTTCTTATTTAAAAAATAGACTTAAAACGAAGACTTCTCACATTAATTCTATCAATTATAGCTGGACTTGGTAATAAATAAATAAATAAAAATGTTAATGGATGAAGAGAGTAGTGGTAGGGGGAGATGGGTTAAGTAGTTTTAGCGTTAGGAGAAAAGATTCATGATCGTATAGAAGCGGGTTAAAAGTTGATAGTGAATAATATTGGTGAGGCTGAGCATGTTTCAGCATGTTATCTGGGATAATAGAAATAAATATAAACAACCTGCTGTTGGATTAGATCGTGTTTCAACAAGCTAATTAAGTTCAGTACCTCGCTGGCCATCTAATGCCACACACAGTTTATATCCAGCATTCGAACGCTACTTACTGCGCTTGTATTTTTATTTCTGGAATATGGCTCGCGGAGGTTGTGTAATTTCTCCCGACAGCTTCTGTTATGTTTGTGGTGAATACACAGTGAAAAGTCAACAAAGAAACATAAGTGAATTAGTGAAAAAAGTTTAATTTGCGTATTTCAAATTGAAACTTGGAGAGGGAGATAAAGCAGATTTCTGGAAACAATGGGAGAAAAGGAAAAAGAATCACGGGACTCTTTCAAGAATGTAGTGCATAAGTTTTTGGGGAATACTAAGCACCCTGACTACAAAATCATTGTAAAACGCATGCTGGCAGCAGCGTATGAAGCTCGAGGATGCGTAATGAGCTTAAAAGTTTACTTCTTACACTCCCATGTTGACTATTTTCCCGAAAACTTGGGAGCCTACAATGAAGAACAGGGTGAAAGATTTCATCAGGATGTCCGTGATATCGAGAGACGCGAAAAGGAAAATGGGATGTCAATATGTTAGCTGACTACTGTTGAATGCTCAATCGAGAAACCAGAGAAGGAAATTGGAAACGAGTTTGGAAAAGCATCAAAAAGAAGAAGAAAATGTTTCATGCAAAAAAAGAGTATATCTAAAATTGTGTATAAATATCAGAAACAATTTGTTGATTAGTTGTAAGAAAATATTTATTACAATGAACTAAATATATTATAAGAGTTTTTATCAAAAATTTCTTTTTATTTTGCAAAAAATCTTTACGTGATGGGATGTAACGGAAGTTATTTTTAGAATCTGTGATCTGTAAAACATATAATTCAGCAAAAATATTCCATGCAGCTGGAAAATTTTTTTTGCAGACCTGTGTTATTTTTTTGATTGCTTCATCTCATGCATTTAAATTTTAAATAGACCGATTTTAGATTGTCGCGCGTACCCCTTCACGCAATTTCGCGTACCCCCAGGGGTACGCGTACCACTAATTGGGAACCACTGATGTAGAGTATAAAGGTACAGACTGAACCATTGGATTCTTAGACAACAGGCAAGCCAATTGCACTGTGAAATGATTTTTTTTTTTGGAAATTGTCCTATAATTGGTGTATTAAACTGTGTGGTATTTTCCTTATCCTCATTAATACCGATTCTTCTATACTAACTGCAGGATGACCGAGCGGTTATGGTGACACCCTACCTGCTGGAGGAGCCTGTATATAATTTTGACAGGAAGAACTCCAGGTATTTTCGAGGGTGATCCGTAGCGGAATCCGTATTTGACGATTATATAAAATAATAATTAAAGATTTTTATGATTCGATACGATTTCCTACACGCTTTTGATTGCAGCTAAGAGGTGCCATATTTTGAACTGCGGGTACCGAAATCGTGTTTCTCTTTTTGTTATTTTCAAGTACGAGCCATTACAGGAAAAGAATCTTTGGAAAAAAGAAAGAATTTATTTTCTTTCTCACGAAATATAAATTATCCTTAAGGGCACAGTTACAACATTGAGCGAGTTTAGTTGTCACGCGCTTGATGACTTATTGGAACGAGCAAAGTTGATGACCAGGCTAATTTGTCGCTATTCGCTGGCAAGTTCACTCTGTGTTGCTAACAGAAAAAATCGAAAGCGCATAAAATAATTATTTTTACTAATTTCGCGGCTTTGCACACTGGCAAGTACCTATTAATCACGCTCAGTATAATTGAACAGTATTGTCCATTGCTATTTCTGAAGATCGGAAACCGCAATAATGTAGCAATTGTAAAATACATTACTTGAAACCTTGGTCACGGACCTCATTATCTTCTTTAGATGATGCACTAAAGGTAGTCTACAAGCAGCATGTGGACGTCCATGATAGAGTGATGCCACAATTCTTTTCTTTCATTCTTTCTGCTCTGCTGACACTAATAAGACACTTCTTCCATGCCGATCATGAATTTAAACAAGTCCACGGTAAAATGGCTGGGTGGTGAGTGACGGAGCCCGACACCCTGATTCGATGGATCCCAGAGAAGTAAGATGTCACCTTAACCGATTCGGCCATATTCATGAATCTAATTGCGCTAGTGTTATATTTTCGTCTGTAGGAAAAACAATAGTACATATTTTCGTATAGAACTCCAGGAGATTACGATGCTGTTTTTAACAGAAGTGATTCATGGCTATGACTAAGATTATATTAGGCGTAAAAATTTATACATTCATTATTTTACGAAAACACTTTCTGATTCATGCAGTTGTTACACATTACTTTGAAATCTTCTACTTGCTTTCAGTAATTACGGCAATTTTTTGTAATTAAAAATTGCAATTTTCTTCCAAAAATAACATTTTTTTTTTTAAATCTCTGAAAGAATGATTTTCTAAACTGTCCTCAAGTATTTCCATGTTTTTTCAGTCTTCATTTTCAGCCTTTCCACAACAATTATAGCGAATGTGTTTCAAGTGAGGCATAACACATGTTAATTTTCTCTGCGTAGCAATTGAACAAGATAAATAAATGAAATATCAAACAACCGACACTGCTGTTTTATGTAATTTATGTTAATATACTTCAAATTGTAATGATCAACAGTTTAAATACAAGTCGACCCCCCTATAAGATTGTTGATTTTTCCGTTTTATCTGAATTACATGTTGTACGAGTCACTTAGATTTTACAAATATGTGAGCCGTTCACAGCCCGGCACACAAGTGACTCGTACAACATGTAATTCAGATAAAACGGAAAAATCAACAATCTTATAGGGGGGTCGACTGGTATGTGGTTTAATATCCTACAACGTTCTGGAAAGTGTAATTTCCGCATCTTACTTCCATCAAAATCGTGAATCTCCGTGTTAACTATGGCTCTGTGTTAGTTTAGTTATTGTAATGATATAATGAAAAATAAAAATGATATCTTGTGTAATGGGCAAAGTCACGTAATAAATTTTTAAAATATATCGTGAAATTTGTGTCATAATTTCGATTTTATATTTCATTAAATCATGAAAATAGATTTTAAGAATAGGTTTCGTATCGATGTCCATTTAACGGGCCCATAATCATCGAACACTTAGGTGTAAATCCGCTACAAATCAGTAGCGCGTTGAGTTTTTCGGGTTTTCATTCCTTATCTAACACCTAAATAGGAGCCAGTTTCCCATAGAAAGTTGTTTTAGGAGGCACCTCCTTGACAGATCTCATGGCTGCGTTGCTTTTACAGATTCCTCTAATAAAACCGTTCATATTAAAAAAGTATTTTTCCAAAGTAACTTTTAATTAATAATCCTTTACGGACCTGAAAGGATTTACAATGGTTCTGCAATCTTATAAATGTTCCGTGGTCAAATGCTAAACATAAAACATTTAAATAGGGTCCAGTATCGATTTGCCAGAGGGATAACAAATCGCCCGTATATTATGTCGTATCATTCCACAAAACCAAATCCCAAGAATATTTATGAACGGTTCCTTCCGGTTATATCGGAACCAATCACTCACCATCAGGCCTTTTCCATTGACAGCCTAGAGGAACTCACAATGGGCACGCAAGAAAGCCCTCTCAGCATCTACAGGAGGCCAACTAAAAGTGAGAAAAATAATAATAATAATAAATTCCAGTCTCTCAAATAAAGAAATAAATGATTTCATCATATTTATAAAATAAAATAAAACTGTAATCAAAACATGTAAACAATAGAGAACACGCAACAATAACATCATTGATGAAGTAAATACTAAAATATGAAAAAATGTATATAAACCGGATAAAAGCGGATCGTTTACGCGTTTTAATTGTTTTTCAATATTTGTTGATTTGCAAATAATAAACTTTTGTAATACAGAAATTGCGCGTGTTTCGCTACCTATACTCTATACCTTACTTAACAGTTTTTCTCATACAAAAATTCGCATTGTTCTGTGTTGGAGGAAAGAAGGTAAATTCATTTTTCCATAATTTCATAGGATCCCATTTCGATACCATTATATATATATATATATGTTAACTTGTAATATTTAAAGTAAAATTACTCATTTTATTATTTTCTTTTAAGTTCAATGGCCGAAGAAACTGAACAGCAGGATGATAAAAGCAAAGAAACTGTCATAGAAATACCTAATGGAAATTCGATGATAGCAGAAAAACCTGTAAGAATTTTATAATATTTTTGTATTTATTTTAATATTAAATTATATAGGATAATCACTTTTGGTTGTTTATCGTCGAATATATCGTAGTCTGTTCCTATATTTCATTGATTATGACACAGGAGAAATGTTATAATCCTAAAACTGCCATCTTTAGATTTAGCCTTAAGCTATGGCATCCTCACTTCCCCTATATAAATTGTAACTTTTTTCATTAACAATGAGCACTATAGTAAATAAATAATTAATATTAGTAATATAATAATAATGATAATTTATAGTATTATTTGTATTGACAAAGAAATGAGGCCCCATTGGACTTTAATTAGCCCTAGGCCCCGAAAAACCTAAATTCTAATCCGCCATTGTTATACGTCAACATACTATATGAAAAAATACTGATTGGCTTCTATCTGTATACCTACTTTTGGCCCCATCTCGTATCTTGTAAGCTTGGAGATGAATAGAGGACGAATTGTTCGGAAAAGGAGAACATTACTGATGTGTTTGAATACAGGGAAGACATTTAAGTCAAAATGGTTTGGTTTTGTCTAATGGAATATGACAACGCGAAGGCGATTTGCCGAAGGAGATACCTCCCAGGAAGATTTCTTATGGGAAAACTGGCTCCTATTTAGGTGTTAGACACGTGAAGAAAACCCGAAAACTTCACGCACGTGGCCAGCACCGGTATTCAGTGCTCGGCAAATGGTGGGTCAAAGTCAGAAGGGAGAATTTGATCTCCCTTTAGATGTTATATAGTAAACTAATCTATTTAGACTCTTTCTGTCTTGCGGACACTAACAGACTCTTTTCCAAGTCCATCGTGTATCATATCAGGCCCACAATGTGGCGGCCGAATAGTGAGGGATGGGGCCCAACACAACTAGGATAGATCACCTCCGAAAAATGCCCCGACTTTTTTGGCCGCGCGGTTAAGGCATCAGCCTATTGCTTTTAGTGTATCTAAGATAGAATGATGCCGGGTATCCTAAAAGCAATAGGCTGACTCTTTAACCGCCTCGTTCGTTCGGCTTTTCGACCTTATCTCTGTGGCATTACATTTATAAAATGTTCTACGTCACATAGAAGCGTTTTGCATCATGCCCAGCATCATTTTTGTAATTTGCTACTATTAGGTAGCTGCTATTATTAATTGGTAACCATTTATATACTTTTATAAATAGAAAATAGCCCTAAAGAAAAATAAAATACAACACATTTCACCCATAGTAATGAAAAATTATAAAGGTTCTTTATTACTGATTCTTACAGCTCTAAGGCGGGGTTACTATTTAGTATCACTTTCACTTTAAAAAGTTTCTTCCTCTATTTACACATGCTCCTTTCTATCACAAATTTCTATCTAGTAAGACCTAGTATTATCCCGGGGCACATATAGATACTTCTAACCATATTCATCACGACACTGGCCAAGCCTATAATGATAGGTTGTAAGAAATGAGGCCGAAAATATCTGAGACCGATTATCCATTAACAATATCTGAGGTTTCCTATCCAAATTTAAGCCCGAGTCCCTACAATGAGGTGAAGCCTTTATCATATCCATCAATTATAAGAGCTTAAGATGGATTTGAACCTGGATCTTCACGGCGGTAAGCATCTACCTTCCTAATTGTGCGCGCTGTAATTATATAAAAAGATATCTTAATACAAGTAATCCTCGCTTAATGAGCTTTTAATTCTCGATTTAACTCTGTTTATTAATTGTGAACGACCTTCATATTGCATGCCACTTCTGAAGAGCGCTTCTGTATGAAGAATTTGCTTAACAGATTACGTGTAGTATTTACTTGCAATGTACTAGGTATAAGGTTAATATTACTCTACTTTCTATGTGTAAATACTCGTGTTTATAGTAAAATATTATTTAGGTTTTTTAGTGATTTGCAACAATATATTGCAATGTTATTTTTATATCGTTGCAATATATTATTATGCAATTAGTAGTACATTTTATTGACGTTCTGTCAGATTATTTTACTATTTACGATATTTCAGTTTTAATTGCATATATTTTTTTATTTTTATGGAATATTTCGGAAATTCAAAATGGATAATGGTGCTTTTAATTGCGATACATAAAGTAACCTATTGGAGAAAACACCTCCATATTTAATCCTTTTTATTATGTATCGTTCAAGGTTTTTAATTTAAAATATTTATTAATTTATAAACTTAATTCGACAGAATTGCAAAAATTAATGTTTCAGATTTAATACCTTTAACTGGTTTTATAAATCATGTGATACTACACTTTGAATAATTCAATCATACAATGGACAATCATACCCGTCTGTCAGTTCTGGTATTTGTATTTTAATTGGAACAAAGGGATTAAATACAGAGCAATATGTTACAGAAGACACGTATGTGTTTTGCCTTATTCCATCACTCAAACCCTACTAAGTATTATACTATATATGAAAATACGCTAATAAATAAGTGTTGCCGCTATGATAGGATCAGGGTCAAATCCGGGTGTGTACTTTCACTTGTGCCACTAACCTCTGAGACTTCAACTACTGATCAGGCCTCACTCATAGCTCCAAATATTGACAGTTAAATCCCCAGATACTGTAATCATTTTGTCAGTTGAAGACAGAAATTACAAACACTCTGCTTGTTGAAGTCCCGGAGACTGCCAAGGGATTCCGTATTATGTTGGTTTCTGAATATGGTTGTAAAGACTTGCGACTGTGTCATCAGGTAGGTGAGATGCTGGACATGTCAGTTTCCTCTCCTTAATGTGTATTTTACATTGCTATGAGGTTAGTTGACCTTCCCCAGAGTACATGTGTCCTGGAGATAAGGTGTTGTTTAAATGCTGCATGCTCGGATTGCATTAGTATCAGCATCCTCACGTTAAATTTATGTAAGATTAACTTTTTAAAATAATATTTTTTCAATTTAGGAAACAAAAATAGCAATAACCGAAGAAAACAGGCTGTCAATAGAAGAACCCGAAAGTGACGATCAAGGAGATTTCATAAGCAGAATAGGAAATCGAATACGTAAATGGAAAAACAAAAACAAAAAATGGATCAAATATGTGGCCATGGCCATAATTTTTGTGTTGTACAACACTTATTTAGGTTTCGCGATCCATTTAACTTGGAACGATCCTCCCAAATGGAACAGAGGGGTTCGCTCCTTGCTTCTCTTCACAATTTTTGTGTATTTTATGATTCTGTATTACACCGTTCTTAAAAAATACGTAATTAAACCAGCACTTTACGGATTCTACCACATTAAATGTGTAAATATTGTACTGAATTGGAAATACTTCCCATGGTGAGTAATTCAAATAGAATAAGACAAAAGTATAATGTACAGTAGACCCTCCTATAAAACGGGTTCATATGATACGGATTCGTATATAACGGCGAAAAGATTGCGATCGTATTCGTATAAACACGCTAAAATAAACTCGTATAATACGATAAAACGTCATCGCCGACTCGTGTCGCGACAGGATTGGTCGAATCTAGACAAGTAGCGGATATTGCACAAACTGTTGAGTTTAAACGAACACTGGACCTACTAAAAACCACTTATTATTTAATAACGGCCATAAAAATTATATTTATATTAATGATGTCTCCAAAGTTCAGCGAATTTTTCGCAGAAAAATAATTTATCAGGAAACACGTGCCCACTGTTCGATGCGCCGCTTCACGACTAAAAGAAGCTTAAGCAATGGCGTCGTCGAACGGTGCACACTCGGTAAGTAATCCTACAATTTTTTGTTTATAGCATAGTTTATATGGATTATTCTCAAAAAAAATTATACGTGTTTTGGAAATGTTGAGTCAAATTAGTCTAGAATCGATTAATTTTATGGAAGAAAACATTTCAAACAGCCGTAGTCCGTAAACTTCACACGTGTCGGACTGTGATTGGCTCATGTATTTAAAAACTCGTAAAACATGAATTTCATAAAACACGGAACGTATCTACCGTGTTATAGGGGGGTCTACTGTATTCCTCCAATTTATATTTATAAACGATTAATTTATGATAATTCCAAGTGGAAGTAGATTAGTAAGCAAACCAATAGCATAGTCCGTTTGATTTAAAACGGTTTATTCTGTTGGTTCGCTTACTTACTACATAGAAGCACCTATAAGAATCCATGTGTTTTAGATCGCTAATTAATTAAGGATGTTACTAGGTTCGTGTCTGCACGAATCTAGTAACGAGCAGGAAATGCGAGCGATATATTTCTCGCAAAAGTAAACCATGCACAAGCGAGATTTCTGGCTCTAGCAAATATCTGACGAAGTTTGATATTTATCGCGATTCGCCTCTTGTTTTGCTAAACACTGAGCTTGCGCCTGTGCATAGGGGTAGAAAATGGTGACATATTTACTGTATAAGAAAAATTAATTAATACTGTTTATTCTCACCCTGAAATATTGACAAACGTCTTCCTGATCAAGGGAATCAAAACATTTTAATTTCAAAATTGAATAAAATAACGGAAGTGACCAAATTAGACTGTAGCGAACATGTGACGTCCGTCTCCATGCGAGGTCGTATCAGGGTAATCCCGAAAGTGAGGTGTCCTATTTTTTTTACAAAGAAACGTTTATTTTCAATAATGTTCACATCAAAGCTTGAACATTTATCTATGTCTCTACATAATTGTCATTTCTGTCAATGCATTTTTGTAGGTGCTATAGCAGTTTTTGTATGCCCGTGTCATACAGGCTCGCCGCCATGTCGTGTTAAACCGATTGAAATTCATCGCTAATTGTGTATGGCCAGAAGCGTATTGTATATAAAGAAAAAAGCGGGGACCGTCAATTTCCGAAGAACCATGCGTGAAAATCGGTGGATCACTCTGGATGCTCTCTGCATTTTGGTTCCTGGGTTCTCCCAAAGCACTATTCGTAAGATTTCAACGGAATGGTTGAAATATCGGAAGGTGTGCCCACGATATGAGGGCGAACAGGTATGACATGGGCATACAAAAACTACCACAGCACCTAGAAAAATGCATCGACCGAAATGGCGATTATGTAGAAAAATAGATAAATGTTTAAGCTTTAATTAAGATGATGTAAACATTATTAAAAATAAACGTTCTTTTGTATTTTTAAAAACATAGGAGACCTTACTTTTGGGATTACCCTCGTACCACACTCGATAGATATATTAGTCTCTTAACTAGCAATAGCTGTAATGCTACGAAATTGGAGTAATAAATATTTCTGCCACTTCGAGCTCTGTAATCGCTTTGTGTAATAAGTTTTGCTCGAGCATAGAAAGAGTTGGCTGTAAACATCCGAAATTCTTTTTAAACAAGAAATTTTTCTCGTTTTTAACTTAGATGTTGCTTTTGTCTTTCTAAAAGACTATTTGTAAATACTATTTTAATTCAATTTTGAACATTATTTATTCATAAATGTCGCTAATATTTATAATTCTATTAATATAATTCAGATAATGAGTTTCAGGTTGATAAATAGAATAAATAGCGAGGTTTCGGCCGAAGTTTTCATCTCTAAAACGTGAACGTCGAACGTCAAGTGCCGCTTACAAGATAGCGGCGCTGGACGTTCACGTTTTAAAGATAAAAACTTCGGCCGCAACTTCCCTATTGTGAGATTCGAGAAATTATTTTCTCCTTAATTTTGTAAAAAAGCCGAGTTATAAAAAAACTTTTTTTTATTTCCTCCGTTTCCTACGGAATTAGAAAACGAGACGTGCAACAAAGCCCTCCTTTTCTTGCTGACCTGAGAAAGTTGAAAGAATAATCATAACAATTAATAGCGAGGTTGCCGCCGTAATGCTCGACGTTCCAAACGCCATTGTCAACCTTCTGGGCTTACAGGAAGGCGGTGCTGAACGTCCGACGTTCGCGTGTTCGCAACTTCGGCCTCAACCTCGCTAATTGTTGATGTGTGAAAACGTCGAAACTTAAACAATTTTTCAGTGTGAATCTGACAACAAGTCAAAATTCCACCGCCCCATCAATGACTCATTTGAAGTGTCCTCACTAGAAAACATAGGGTCACATGATATAATTCCCACACCTCGTGGAGATATAATAACCGCACACCCGATCTTCGGGGCGGAACTCCCCAGAAAAAGCCATAGATTGCGACTCGTCTCGCTATAATACCAACGTATCTACAACGAAGGGCCGCTGCTTTAGAACGTAGCTGAGAATGCAGTATATCTTCTTCTTCTTCTTCTTAGATATTGTTTATATGGAGATTTTAGCTCAATATAGGCTCTTTCTCCGATTAGACATGTGTGTATGATCGCTATGCCACCGATTTGCCAGCCGTATCCGAACGGCCTATACGTACGCGCGGGAAATAATGCCTTCAGGGAGGACTTTTATGGGGAACTGGCCTCCTATTCAGTCGTTATTGGCAAGGAGAAAACCCGGAAAACTCCAAGCAGCCAGCCTGTCCGATCGCGGCGCAAACCCACGACCGAACTTCCCAGTGTTTAGGGTCTGGTCACCGCTATGAGCGGCAACGGAGACCACTCGCCCACTGGTGGGTCCCAGTGTTTAGGGTCTGGTCACCGCTATGAGCGGCAACGGAGACCACTCGCCCACTGGTGGGGGCATGCAGTATATCTAACGACTCTGGCCGTACTTAACGATAGCGAGAAAACAACAGGCACGAAACGTCATCACCTCTTCTCGCTCGCTCGTGTCTGCATAATCGCACCCTAATAAATAATGTATTACTATAAGAAATGCGTTTTTATTTAAAATGTACGTTAATATTTTATTATAATTAATTAAATTTGTATAATTAATAATATCCTTTCGTACTGCTTAAATAATTTAATCAAAGTTTTAAATTTTTTACATACATTGTAACCTGTATACGAACTCCGCCATCTGTTTGGGACATTAAACATTAATGTATTAATTTTTTTTCGTTTTTATATTTATAGTTTATTATCTTAAAATTAGTTTATTTTTAATAAATTATATTTTATTAAATTAATTTTAAAATGTATAATTTATATTTTAATTAGTTACCTCATTTTAAAAGTTGTAAAACGTCATTAAATATATCACGTGATACTTTGAAAATTAATTAAATTTTTATGATTTTATTTACGTAATTTATTTTTAAAATGTTATTCTAATAAATTCGTTTTGAAATACATGTATATTTAAAATAAGATTCGTCATCATATTTTTTAATGACGAATTTTAATCTTTCTTTAGAATTTTTATCGTCTGTTACAATGACGTCAACCAAAATTATTTCATTTTTTACGAAATAATAAACAATTTATATTACAACGTAATTTTATAATTTAAAAATAAATTAAACAATTATTAAACATTTGATTATCGATCGAAATTCTTAAATATTAATTTTTAAAATTTAATGACATCAACTGACGATGTATTTTTAAATATTTTAAAATCTGATAAATAAATTAATTAGTTTAATTTACAAATTAGTTATTTTATTTTATTATATNAAATATAATATTGTAATAATTGTATTAAAAAATTATACTTTTAATTTATTAATACTTATTTCAACATAATAATTATTAATTTGTATAAATTAATTAAAACTTTTCGTTTAAATTGAAATATATTAACTAAAAATTAAATAGTTGAAGTGAAGTAGTTCCGTTTTATGGCGTCAGATGGCGATGTGATTGTGGAATATGTTAAGTGTTGCCATGATTCTATTGTATTAATGGTAGCAACAATTTATTGTTCTCTCCAAAAATTTATCTTGAGATTTTTCCTGTTATTCAGTGATGCCAACTTAGGGGGTTTCCTCAATTTAAGAGAAACTTATTTCAGTTTTTTGGGAGGAACTCTGTTAATCTTAAGGGAATTTCAGTCATTTTAGTGGGTTTCCACAGAAGGTTGGCAACACTGATCATATTATTATACATCACGTGAACACGTGTTGCTATTATAAGAGTCAATCCATTTTATGAAAGATTGAATTAATTGAATTAGCACTTTATATTTTTATTTTAAAGGTTAATATGGGCATTAATAGTATTAGGGCTGACAATATTCCTTATTATTGATTCAGCAAATAATCGTTATCGTCTACTTTCCTTCTCCGGTTTGTTTGTTTTGATTCTTTTCGGTTACTTATTTTCGGCACATAGAAAACACGTAAGTCAATACTTTACCTTACATTATTTACATTCCGTATGCTCTAGAATTAACCTTATATGTGTAATATATTTAGATAATATGGAGGCAGACTCTATGGGGATGCCTTCTCCAGTTTATCTTTGGAGTAATGGTTTTGAGATGGGACACTGGAAGAGAAATTCTGGAAACTTTTGCAAATAAAGTTGACGTCTTTCTGGGTTATACCGATTACGGTTCCAAGTTTGTCTTCGATTATCTGGCTACTGGTGAATTAAAAGATTTGCCGAAACAAAATACTATATTTGCTTTTAAGGTAAGAATTTTGGGTTAAATTTACCTTAGGTAGCCAAAATGGCGGCTCGTTTCTGATATCAGCAAACAGAAGAAAGGAAACAGTGGGGACGCACGTTCTAACCTAACCTAACCTATTCTAATAAATTACCATAATTATTACCAACCAAACTATTAGAATAGGTTAGGTTAGGTTAGAATATGCGTCAGCACTGTTTCCTTTCTTTTGTTTGCTGGAATCAGAGATGAGCCGCCATTTTGTCTACCTAAGGTAAATCTAACCGAATTTTGATTGATGCCGACATTTTATTTAAAGAATTAAATAGCATTAAGAAATTTCAAAACCTAAGTAACTTTTACAAACCAGTACAGATGAACTAAAATCCATTCTAAAGACAATTTAACAATATATATAAACTTATAAATTTGACTATAATTGTAATTATATTTAAAATCCTTCAGGTGCTACCTGTAGTCCTGTTTTTCAGTTTCTTCACTTCTATCTTGTATTACTATGGAATTATGCAGATTTTGGTACTCAAAGTTGGATGGTTTCTTCATAAAACAATTAAAACTACAGCTTGTGAATCGGTGACGGCAGCCGCAAACATTTTCTTAGGATTGGTATATCATTTGATACCATTTACATAAGCATTTTTCGTTCAAATTTAGTAATGATTTTGATTTATTTTTAGATTGAAACACCTTTGCTAATTAAACCATTTATTGGTTTTATGACTAAATCAGAAATTCATGCAGTTATGACCGGTGGATTTGCAACGATAGCGGGAGGTGTTATGGCAGCTTATATTAGTTTTGGTGTAAGTGAATACCAGTCGACCCCCTATAACACTGTTGATAATTTCGTTTTATATGAATTCCATGTTGTATGAGTCACTTATATTTTACAAATACATGTGCTGGACTGTGAACAGATCACATATTTGTAAAATCTAAGCGACTCATACAACATGGAATTCATATAAAACGGAAAAATCAACAGTGTTATAGGGGGTGTCGACTGTAATAGGACCGAAGAGGGGCATTAAGCGACAAAATGCATATCANCTATAACACTGTTGATAATTTCGTTTTATATGAATTCCATGTTGTATGAGTCACTTATATTTTACAAATACATGTGCCGGGCTGTGAACGGCTCATGTATTTGTAAAATATAAGTGACTCGTACAACATGGAATTCATATAAAACGGAATTATCAACAGTGTTATAGGGGGTCGACTGTATTTTAATATTATTTTAAAAAATTATGTATAATGTTATTTTATCTTTTAATTTATTACTTTTCCAACTTTTAGGTTAATGCAACTCACTTGTTATCAGCTTCGGTTATGTCGGCTCCTGCGGCATTGTCGTTCGCCAAGTTATTTTATCCAGAAACTGAAGAAACTAAAACTTCTATCAAGCATATTAAAGTGGAAAAGGGGTACAAAAATGCTTTATTTACTTTACTAATAAGTTAATTATGGAGTCCATTTTATATATAATTTTTATTTTTATTTTTTTAGAACCGAAAAAAACGTTCTTGAAGCTGCAGTTAATGGTGTAACGTCAGCCGTTAATATAGTAGTAAACATGGCTGTAAATATGATTGCTTTCTTGGCATTCGTTAATTTTTTGGATGGAACAATATCGTGGTTTGGTAGTTTACTCGGATACGAATACATCACCTTTGATGTGAGTTAAATCACTTCTTTAACACGTTTTTAATAAATACAGAGAGGCCATAATAAGTTTCTCTATTCAGAACACTGTAATCAATAAGAGAATTGACATAAAGTGCACTGAATAGGAAACTTTAATTATTCCCATCCTGTGTAATAACTGTTTCTTTTTTGGGGGGTGTAATTTTCAGTGGATTGTTTCTAAATGTTTCATTCCTATATCAATTATAATGGGAATCGAATGGAAAGATGCAGAACATGTAGCCAACTTAGTAGGAATTAAAACTATTGTTAACGAATTTGTAGCATACCAGAAGTTAGGAGAGTTAAAGAAGGCAAATAAAATATCTGTAAGTTTTTATACAGTAAATTTATGGTATAATTTAATAAATTTATATTTATATTCTTGTAATTTTAACACTACAGAAACGATCAGAATACATAGCAACGTATGCCCTCTGCGGGTTTTCAAATATTAGCGCAATAGGAATACAAATGGGTGCTCTAATTGCCATTGCACAAAATAAGAAGTCCGATATTGCTACTGTTTCGGTTCGTGCTCTAATTGCTGGTTCTTTTGCGTGTTTCATGACAGCGTGTATAGCTGGTATGTTCCATTTTATGTACTAATTTCATGAATTTTAATTAAAAGATAACTTTTATTTATTTTCCTTTCAGGTTCACTCATATAAACTTAATTGCTAAATCACTTATTTTAATAAAAAAAAATAAGGATTTAATCAAGACCTATAAACGTTTCTGTGTTATATTAAATGTGTTTGTAAAATACTTTAATGTCAGTTGATTAAAATAATTTGACGGTTTTTTTGTGTGTTGTTGTACATAAAAATCAAATGTTTGCCCGTTTTTTCCTTTAATTTAATGTGTAGAGATTCCTTTCACAGTTTAAAGTTACGTGAAGCTTTATATTTTCCACAATATGTAATTACAGTCCCCCCCCTATAACACTGTTGATGATTCCGTTTTATATGAATTCCATGTTGTACGAGTCACTTAGATTTTACAAATACGTGAGCCGTTCACAACCCGGCACACGTATTTGTAAAATCTAAGTGACTCGTACAACACGGAATTCATATAAAACGGAATAATCAACAGTGTTATAGGGGGGTTCGACTGTATTTTTATGTACAATGGAATCCGGTTATTATAATCGCGGATAATGTTATCAATTGGTTATTGTTACCATAATCAGTAGGTCCCAAAACACTGTATATACCTTAAAGATACCGGCTCTATCTACAGCATATAGTTATGCATAGTTTTATATATTCTATAGAATATATTATATTGATTTTCAGGAAATATGTGTTAAAATTATATTTAAACTTTTAACGTGTTCGTAAATTTTATTACAGTAGAATAAATTGGGGAAATGAAACCTTTTTAAGATAACAACGCCATAGAATATTTTAAAAATTGAAACGTGTCATGGCTAATGTATATTCAAAGAAATAAATTTACTTTTGTAAACATTTTTAGCAGTTTTTAAATTCTATTCCTGCCTTGTCATCCCACAGGAACAAACAGAAAATACCCCCCCTTATCAAGTGATTAAAGTACGAGTATAACAAACACTTTCTACGTATTCATTAATTCGTTTTAATCACTAAATTTTTATTTACAAGTGTTTTTATTACTCATTTACTGTCATAGTGACTCATACTTTTAACAGTTTATTCTTAAACTTTGCTAATACAGTAGAGTCTCGAAAACTCGGCCTAATGTGGACCGAAGGGTGGCCGAGTTTGTGAAAATGCCGGGTTATCGGGAATGGGGTTTAAAAAAATAAGTATGAGTGTTTCCTCAGAAAATACTGTACTGTACTTGTATGTATTGTTTACTTGAGAATACAACAGAGAATAAACTGCTCAAATACCCTTAAACGAAAGAAAAGTACGTCCTTTATGAAGGCATAGAGCCTTTACTACATGAAAATTAATGAATACACTGTGTACAGTAATTTACCTGATAAGACAGACCTCAGAAAAATACTTTATGAGGCATAAAGCTGTCTATAATGAAAATGAATTAACTAAGGATTTTTGCCCTGCCAGGGTGTGGCCGAATTATCCGGACTGCCGGGTTATCGAGTGCCGAGTTTTCGAGACTCTACTGTAATTTTAACAAGCTACAGATTATGGCCTCGTGTTATAAATTAAAGCTCTCGCAGTTTTACATGTACTGTATACAATTAACTGGTTAAAATCACATTGGTATCTTGCTTGTATTTGCTAACTGTATTGCAAGACAAAGAAAGAACATGCTACTACATGTTTTAATCATTGTATTGTTTATTCACTTATTTTTAAAGATGTTCTAGACATTGTCATTATGACCTCACCCTTCCTGTATTAATTACTTTAACCCTATTTAATTAGTATAAACGAGTCTGAAGCAGATTGTGCTGTAGTTCTGGTCACCCCCTTATAAGACACGACATATATTAAAGATACAAGCAATTCTACGTTTAAGGTAAGAACTATTATATCTTGTTTAATTACAGTATTTATTTGCTGTTACTCTGTTATTAAATTACAATCACCTATATTAATAGGCTCCTCCTTATAACGTACTACACCCCTCCCCGCGACCAACATTTAGCATTATACATTTAATTACAGTAATTAAATGTATTAAGTGACTTAATACATTTAATTCGTGACTGTTACATCCCCGAAGGTTTTAATTAATGGTTTATTAGTGATTAAAATTAGTAGTTTTCCCTATAGTGTAGAGATGAATAGTGTTATGAGCTTTATAGTGTAAAGTTTCCTCTATCTCATGACGTTACAATAGTGTTAAATTTTAATCCTATATAATTGTACTGTACATAATATACACAAACAATTGTTTATCTTTAAAAAACAATTACAAATATTAAAATTAATATTTATTATAATTAATTATCTTACACTTATACTAATACTTTATCAGATAACTCTACTATTGAACTAACTATAACATGAAAATCAGCGCTGATACTATTGTTAGATCTCCTCACAAAGCGTAAAATGGCTTAAAACTTTACGATTTTTAAACATTTTAAGGACACCTCTGGTGTTAATCACTTAAAACACTTAAAATGCCATCGTTTACCACACTTAAAATGTTATTTTTTCACAGAAATAAATTGTTTATTACCCTAATGAGTGCTATTAGAGTAATAAACAATAGTAGCTGATAGCGTAGATACTAAAAGCTTTGTATACTGTTTTAAGCAATAACAATAGTAAATACTGCTATGGTAACAAACAGACGTCACTGTAGTTGCATTTGCGCAGAAGGTAACATCTGTTAAAACCTGTTTTATCAACCACACTAGTCGTACGGCGCGGTACAAGTATATTATACAGGTAAGCTCTAGTGTTAATATATGGATATACCCAACAAAACTTTAACGTATTTGATCACTTAAACACACCATTTTAAGCTCGTGCGGTCGAACAATACCCCCGAAACAGTAGACATTCGATTGTTTCGTACACTCGAATGTATCTACACTATTTTAATTGTGTGTAGCGAGTTAAAAATCACATAGCATAACAGAAAAACTGGAATAATCATGAGGTCATGTGTGTTCTCTGAATAGTATTGTTTCTATAGGAGCTCTTGTTAAAAAGATCAGGTCTTTACAACGTGTTTAATATAAACACATTATCTTGTGAATGGCATTATCTTTAATAGTTTAGAGATAATTTTTGGGTAGAAAGTGCTAAAATAATCAATTCCGTTTCAAGTGTTACATCCTGTACGAATGAGTAAACACGTGCAACGGTCGAGCTCGTGTAAATAACCTGTTGTTCACGGACATCGTGTCAATCATACATTAAATAATTGCTTATGTAGTCGTATACAACTGTATACTACTGTACTCTTTATACTTAACTGTATTAAATTCTAAATCAGGACGTTATAAATTTTCGCATTTCTGGGTTAATAAACACATAAAACCTTACTCATTATGTGTTTTTTAAGCAGTAAGCAGTTTCATGTGTTTACTTCATTTTCTCCAATAAGTAAATACCTGTAAATAAGGCCTTAAGTAAGGACTTAGTAAAGAGTGAATATTACTGTTACTGATTGGTTCTTTTACACACTTAATCACGTGAGTAAAAGCATCCTTAATCACTTTAATAAGTAAATAAGGATCTTATTTATTGTTAAGATTGTTATCCTTACACACAGTCGAGTAAATTAAGTATTGATCTAATAGTAAGTAATTGGTAAGGTTGATCAATCAATTATTTGTAAGGATATTTACTAGCAAAATATGCATAGTAATTAAATAAGAGTACTTAATTTTACTTACTAGTAAGGCATGTCACGACGTTTAGAAAGTCACTCTAAGTAAGGTGTATCCTTATATGCAGCTCTAAATAAAGATGGTTGCCTTACTGATACTTAGAAATCCTTACTTATAAAATTACACGAACTTATGAATATTTTAATCGATGTCGTCGTAAATTACATTTTTTTTTCTTTTTTATCCGTAAACAAATAAAATATTGTACAGTTGTTTATAAGTTTCCCTTTTGAATATTATTTCAAGTAGGTTTTTTTTCGTATTATTTACCGATAATACACAAAAATGAAAGTTTATGAGGTTTATATCTGTTCAAATATTTTTATCTGTTCGTGGAATATCCGTTTTCATTTTCTTTGCTTTTTATTTCATTTTAGTCGGTTTTGTGATGTTTTTATTGTCGTTAATCCGGAATCAGCGGAGAGACACTCAGATGAAACACATTAAACTGATTAAGGTATCTTCGTTTAATCAATGAATTAATGTACAAGAGTCTTTACATAACAGTAGGACGAACGTCCGCACGTGTCGACAGACAGTAGCCCGAACAAAGGAACAAGTTAAGACAAAGGGTCATAAAACCTTTTGTTTGGTTATTGGGTGGGTCTCTCTAGTGGGTCAAATTGGTTTGCGTCGAGAGTATCGACATTTGTCACTCCTTTCTGATAATTATTTAGTGTTTTTCAATTTTGGCGCTTCGTTTTATCATTCTCTTTCTTGTAGTTTTGTGTTTGATACTGTATTTTTCGCCTCCTTTCTGACAGATCTGTGTGAACTTTATTTCTTGCCCCCTTTCTGACAAATCTGTGTTTTATATACCGTGTGTTTCGCCTCCTCTCTGACAGATCTGTGTGCTTTATTTCTTGCCCCTTTTCTGACAAATCTGTGTTTTATATACCGTGTGTTTCGCCTCCTTTCTGACAGATCTGTGGGCTTTATTTCTTGCCCCCTTNTTTTCAGTATTTACTATAAAAACAGAAACGCATGCGCGTATTTAAATTTGAATTCAAATAAACCAATCAAATTTTATCAAACGAACTGCTTTCGTCCTATTTATAAAATATTAATGTTTAAATGATTTTAATAATAATTTCGCCACTTATAATTATCGTTAGAGAATTAATTAAATATTATTTGTTTTCAATAGTTGCCATTTTTTTAACATTACGTCACAGTCACGTGCTAGGCAATATTTTGCAATAAAAATTGATTTAAATGGATTCACAACACTAAATGGACAAGGAAACGTTAACTAATTTTTTTAATATTGAATTTTTATTAAAGTAATTTCCTCTTTAATATAAAAATGATCGGTGAAAGAACTCATTCGACTGTGATAAATTGTTTTTTTAGAAGAGAAAAAGAAAAAGAAGAATATATTATCGATTATTCTGACATGAATATAACAAAGAGGGACGTCAAGAAAATCAAATACGTCTCCATTATTTTCGGGAAGGTATTTTTCAAGGTCAGTAGGACGTAGCTTTCTAGTCACGTGATCTGCATTGACCTA